ATCATTCTTTCTGGTGGTAATTAATTTCGACACTTTGTAAAAAGATTGAATGGACTGGTGTTGGACTTCATGAGGAAGGTGAAAGTGTTTCATAGTTAATCCAATTCATGAGGTGCAGAAATCTACAGACATATTGGATCACTTGCTGATATCTGACAATGTCAGAACACGTACTGCGGAAAAATAGTTTCGGAATTGGATCAAGTGCGCACGCAGAAGTAGCGCTATCCGAATGGATCCCAGCCAATAGCCAGCTTTGAGTAATTCTGCTACAAAGCTCGGTGCGATTGTCCGGCCGTGAAACTACTAAACACACATTGTTTGTCGCAGCGGAGTGTGCTCCCGCGGAATGCAGCCCAGACTCAACTCAGAACGAATTCAACATCAACTCTCCGACCTTCTCTATAAAAAGTGCAGATAGGATATCGTGGTGCTCGCCGTAGATTTAAACGCAACAGTTGGCAGACTAGAAACCGACGAATGCGATCTCTTTGGTCCGCATGAAAATGGCACTCGCATGACGAATAACAGTGATCACTTCCACAGATCCGTGTCGATCAAGGCTTATCCCTCTCCACCTGGCGACGCTCTTCAGCTAAACAGTCGTGGACGCGGATTGATCACATCGCCATCAGCTACCGTTAAGGATGCAGGGTAATGGACTGCAAGTCAGTTTGGTGTACCTGTCTCACTTCAGATCACGCCTCGGTATGTGGGTACGTCTGTGTCAGAGTTGCTCTGGGTTTTGGTGGAAACAACAAGGTCGCCGGAAAAGGCTTGCTCTAGCCAAAATTGATGCTCTCGAGATTTCCAGTGACTTTCAGGCCACAATAGGTTCTAACCTGTTGGGTCCCCACTCCCAATAGTCGAGAAGCATTGGCCACACATCTGGAGGGTCATGCGTAAGTCGCCACCGCTGACTGTATTCTCAAATTACATCAAACAATAGCTTTCTGCACGCGCCGTTTAACTAACAGGAGCTCACCGAACAATTCCTGCTAGTGTCATCATCATCAATATATGTTAGCTGAGGTGGGAAGGAAACCTCAGCTAATGTGCAGCAACACAAAAATATGACACATCAAATATTATAACACATAAATAAAAAAGGAAGAGAATGCTAAATATCATAATATGCATTGGGAGAAAAGTATGGGGAGGGACAAAGAAACTCACAACCTAAATGCCACTGAAGTCGACTCTTCGCCATGTTGACAAGTGTACCCAACCAAACGAGTTAATAATCTTTGAAACCCTAAGCCGGCAAAAGGGGTACAAAATCCGACACCAAGTTAGAAGTGAAGGACTTCATTCCTCTTGACTGAGTCATCGCTTGGCCTCCTCAGTTCTTTATCCATCCACACCTCGGGGCGCGCAAACAACGCAGGTCGCGGGAGTCGGTGTGCTGGCATGAGCAACAAATGGCTCAACCATCGGAGCTTGGTGCGTGATCTAATGGTGCTGAACAGTTTACTCGCTCTTCCTGCACCGAATACACGGCGCCGAACACGCTCAATCCTCAAGTGAGGTTCCCACTTAACTGCAAAGACAGCGATGATCCGGCTCAACAACCTTCTTAGCGTCTGTCAAACTGATGGGCCAAGTTTCACAGTTGTGCAGGAAGGTTGAGCTCAAGGATGTGTTGTAAACTAAGCCCTTAAGAGCGAGGGATGTCACGCCGGCGGCTCAAGTGGCGGAGATTAGAAAAACGTTTCGAGCTTTTACTATACGGTTCGTAACCTCATCGCCTATTCCACAGGCGCTAATATAGCTGCCCAAGTAATTAAATTTCTGAACTACTTTCAGCTGATCACTCTTAAGGGTCACCGCAGGTGTGGGTGTCTGTCAATCATGGAGGACATTGTATATAGGACGTGCAAAGCACAACGCAAAACAATTGACAGCCAGAGCTAATTTGTCCAGCGCAGCTTGGCACGTTCGGGGGCTGTCACAGATGAGCGCAATGTCGTCGGTATACTGTAAGTCGAGAAGTCGTTCACCTGGGAGCAGCTCCACACCTTATAAATCGTGCTCAGCGAAAGCCGTTTGCATAACTCCGTCAATGGCGAAATTAAAGAGGAAAGGTGACAGAGGACATCCTTGTCTTACACCGCTGGAGATATTGAAGGGCGGCGGCAGTTTGCCATAAACCCTCACTGTGTCTAAACTATGCGCCTACAGCGCTCTTATGATATTTACATATTCATCGGGCACACCTCTTAAAGAGACAATCCCAAAGGGCACAACCATCCACCGAATCGAAGGCATGTTTGATATCGAAAAACAACTACGGCGGGTCGCCAATAAATATGGCGGTGTTCCAACTGATCTGAACTAAGGAGTGGTCGATGCAGCCCTGATTTCGACAAAACTCGGCTTTTACGAGTGCCAGTTGTATATGGAGAACGACAGATTCAAGGAATTTGAGTTAATTGTGGTCAGACTGCTCTATGATGGCTGCATTTAGAACGTGAGCCCCCATTGAAAATTGGGACAATGGCAGAGTGTCTCCAGTCTGCTGAGACAGTCTCCTAATTCCATACCGTCACTAGTCAGTTTTACAGATAATGCAAAGGAGCTGAACCCCCGAAGTTGAAAAAGGCTAAGAGAACTCGATTTGGTCCTACGGTCTTATTCAATTTTAAAAGTCGGATCTCAAGTTCGACTTATGAGAAAGTCCAAAGGGACGAACCAAAGAGAAGGGCAATCAATGCCCGAAACACATGATAACCCTGGTTGATGATATTCCAACGAGAACAGCCACGGCCGGATTTGAAAACCCCGATCACACTAACCTCCATGCTCCCATATGAACATGGTAGCTGATAACGAAAGCTAAACTGAACCCTCATCCGCATTCATCGGACCACTTTCATGTTCTTTTTCCTACTTGGCCATGGCTTCCTCGAGTCTTTTATGTCCCCATGAAAGCTGATAACGCGATGTAAAGCGGGTCCTCATTTCCAGTCATCGACTCCTAATATTCTCTCTGCTTAACCGACTACACCCTCCTCAACGAATTTCTGTTCACATAGAGGCCCAGAAAGGAAAGTAAACCCGATCAGTGTTATACACTCCCACATTGCAAACATTCTACATACAGCCCAGTCCAACGTTTGACGTAGCTTGCACTTCTACAAATACACATAAGGGTGGGACAGACTATCAGTGGATATTAGTACCCTAGGTAGCCTTGTACATTTCAGAGTCTCGTTAAGCAAATTTCTGAACACCCTGAGCACGCCTAGTGATGAGCTATGGGAACAACGGCCTGACGAAGCTTAATGATGTACCCTCTTAAACATGCTATGAATCAGTTAACATACATGCCCTCTGTACCTCGTCTTGCTCAGTATATACTGCGGAACAAACCATACCATAAGTTCGCACCTATAACCATTTAGAAGTAACAAAACTGACATTACTGCAGCGGCATATGTATTGACCAGTTGACTGTCTACTTCACCAATCTGCCTCTTCAATGAGATTCTCGTGCGGCAACTGTGAAAATATCTTCGATTACCCTTGATATTTTACTAACCGATCAATAAGGCGAAAGCACTGATTCTTCTACATAAAGAGAACACATCAATCCCTCCGGCTCAAACCACCATCGCTTGCACTACTTCGCACTCCATTAAGCGCTACAATGACAGACTACACCGCGGGCCAAATGAAGTTGAAGCCTCACTGTTGTGGCCGGCTGAAGCTGATATGCTATACTCATTTTTTTGACTTGTTGGAGCACGATAACTCTTCCCGTTGGTTGTGTTAAATATCAGAGTGATTGACCGGTAAAAAATGTGTTACGGGTTGTCATTACCTGCTGGAGTACCGATATGTACTCTACTTTTAACTGCTGCTTTCTTGATACACCAATCATCACACGGTTCCAGATTTCCTCGAACACATGTTCCACTGCGACGAACAATATGGTGTAAACAAACGTGCCTTTGATTCTTGAAATCGGATGCAAAACACTGAATAATATATTACACGAAGAACGAGCTAGGATTTCCACATTATTCGTGGATAAAAGCAGCCGCATCCCAATGAAGGTGAATTCGCGACTAAAAGAAGGTTTGGACTCGCACATCCCGTGAAAATTTAATTCATCGTCGTTCAGGTGTTTCAGCACACAAGCGTCAGGGTTAACATTAATCACAACCTCCTGATAGATTATTTTAACCTGGGAAATTAACTTCGTGTCAAGTGTTTGTCATCATGTCACTAGCACATATAAACTTCTACTTTGCACGTTTTGTAAGCGCTATTGTGATGGCTGTATCGATGATTTCGTGCAACTGGTTGATCTTGCCAAACTGAGATCATAATTATCTGTTCAGTTAGTTCCTTCGCGATCGCTTTGTACGAGTTTATCGGACCAATAACATGGACCGTGTCTCGCACTGTCGGAAAATAAAGTATGTACTTAGTTATTTACAGACTGTGCACTTGCGATCACAGACAATCGAGTTGTAGTAGGGTTGCACCTAACCGTCCAAGTGCTTTGCGGTTTGAGACAGGTGGCAGCGAACCTATAAGCAAGGGTTGTGCTTTTTTATCGTTGGAGACAACCCGTGGCGTTCGTGCTCAACACAAGTGGTGTTGAGCAGACAAACCGTAAATGCTGTCACAGGTGACCACGTTCTAGAGGCGGAGAATGATCATATCTCAAAGCGTAATGAAGCACCCTGTGGCTTAGTTAGTCTGAGCGGCAAGCATTAATCTGTGGGAGTACCCCTTGGAAAGTACCCGATGGATTGGGAGGCAGGTAAGCCTTGGCAACAGGTTAAGGCCTCGTCCTTAGCGATATAAGAGAAACGAACAATCAGAAAGAAATCAACTGTCCGAGACCAAGAATGGCAGTGAAAACCGAATGATAAAGCCTAATCGAATCGCGCAGACTTGTGGCGTGAAAAAGGATAGAGTGGGGCTGAAGAGGCGAGTAGCATAAAGGTACAAGCTGGTTTGCACTAATATATGAGAAGAACACGTACCTTCAAAGAGAGAATAAGGTCGATCTGCCGTGCGTGTTCTATTCTTGAAGCAATCTGTACACCACTCAGCATACTGAAGAATGAAGAGAAACCAGGAAAAGCATGCGAACTGAAGCAGACCACACAAGCAAGTTATCAAAGACGGAGTAACCAATACAACTGCGACTCTGGAACAGATGGGTAAGTTGGGATAATGAGTAGTATTTACCTAGAGCCATTAAAATGCAAAATATACCAAAGTAGCTCTTTGGGAGAAGGATATGTTGGACAAAATTGTGATTAAATGCAAGACCGCATGAAGTCACAGTTCCATTTTTTTAAAAGAGCAACAAGAATACTACGAATCTTCCAAGGTGCACGACCTGAGGCTCCAGCCTCATCAAAGAAAACCAACGAAGTCTGACAGAAGAGTACACAGTTTGCCAATGAATTAGGGAAGAAAACGATTAGTAAATGAAATACATAAACAATAGATAGTGCTTTACAAGTTGACCGACGGATCGACTACAGTATACGTAAAGGAGTCGGAATAAGAAAAGCAATAAATAAGGAATTATAAGTTCAGGCTCGTGATGTGAACTACTAGCATGTGTTAGAATGGGCAGAAGTGGTGACCCAAGACCTATGAAGATATCTGAGTGAGATTCAGAGAGGTGGATTGAAACAACCGCTTCTCATCAGCAGTTAGAGTAGCGTTATGCGAATACAAAAGCTGGTGGGTGCATGCAGCTAATATTGTCTTATCAGTATCATGGTAAAGAGAGATAACATTTTAGGGACGTGTCAGGACCTTATCGGTTCAATTTAAGCAACCGACTCCATCTTCATGCACATTCGCTAACGTAGTGTAAACTGTCACAACTGGAATCGTCAGCATTCATAGAGAGCAACAACCTTGGGTTAACGCTGTGTTGGACAGTGTATGCAGATTAGTCCAGTTTCTGAGTGGTAGAGATTAAATTATTTTATTGGTTACGATGTGCTTGAGCTATGCAAACATGGGAATTCACCACATATCAGTTTCCGTGGAGCTGCGAGCATAGTTTCCTTTGGCGGCCAAGCCTGATTGTAATTCTCGATCAACGCGTTATAGTGATAGCCTATAGGTTGTCAGGCAAATACTTCGTGCACGAGTTAGAATTTGTAATGCCAGTCGATCTAGCCATCGCAGTGATTCGCCGCTTACTGGGCATCCGAAAACACCCTAAATGAGGTAGATGAGATCGCAAAGTTCCTTTGTAAGCGTTTGAGACCTCGATGTGATTCCATTTCATCTACAATGGCCAAACACACAAGCAGGGCACAGTTACTTTCTTACGTTCGAGCTGCATGTGGAACTCAAACATCGCACACTAACCATCTGGCATGCCTGTATTTCCAGGACACATCACAGCCAAGTGTGTCTTGCCACCGGACTTGGCCGACGAAGACGCAAGCCACAGCTGAAAACTTGACAATGGAACCTCACGTCCACGTGGTGGGCAAACGGATGAACTACGCAAGCGATAACTGGTGCTAACGAGTTTCGATTGTTGGGGAATCACAGCATCTAAAGCGGCAGTGAGGTCCGAGATTGGATGGCCGTTAAACCTCTCGTATGCCATTGTGGTAAATGTGAAAAGGGGAATAGGATGAAAAAATAGCTACACAACGCCGAGCATAAAAAGTTAATGTGTGAGTAGGGGAATGAAAAGAAAAAAGTGCATGCTCCGCAACGGAAAATGCAGACCGCTCACCTTCGCCGCACGATACAGATACTTGTTGTCCCCAGTGACGTGGTGAAGTGCTGCCAAGGCGTAGCCACTGCCAGCCGAACCATGACACAGACCACAACCCTTGTAAAGTAGGCCACGGGTCCAAATCGTCTCGCCACCTCGAATAGCCCGTTTTAAATAGAAGTCGTCCTGGGTCACCTGGTGGGCGGATGGCATGTAATTACGAGTAGGCAAACCGGTTGGTCAAGAATGACAAGTAAGGTGTCAAAGAAGAGAGACGATAGGTATAACACAACTCAGGAGGTTCAATGTGAATTGCATCACAAACATGGCGTGAGATGACAAAATGGGATACGTAGAAGGGATATAATCCGCATTGTGCGCATGGCGTCTACCTGTTTGCTCTTGAACCGTACAAACGGTCTTGGGTTGGTGTCATGATGAAAGTGGCGCAGACCACGGAGTCTCCTCAGGGCAACACTACAAACAACTCCGCAACTGTAAACTACCATGAACTGTCGGAGTCACACCAACGCATCCAACACAAACATGGGCCACCCAAGCAAAGCAAGCACTTGCACGTAGACGCACTACAAAGACTGAAACCATTAGTATAAGTATCTCACTAAGAGCTAACTGATTCCAGTGAGTGCCAAACAGAAAGGCGGTATTATGCGCGCAACTCAGAAAAGACAATTTTCCTCTCCGCATGGCCTTAACGGCTGGGTAAGGTAACAGTATGGTAAAATCTACGAGAAGACAGAATAGATACGGGGAATCCTTTGATAATTCATGAGCTGTCGTTAAGTTGCACAAATCAAAGCAGGCTACAAGGTGACATGGGATGATTCGAGTACATGTGTATGTAAGATTTCCACGTCCTTCAAACAAACTGCTTTCCTAGTAAGCGCATCGAACATGGCAGTGATCGAGCAAAACATTTCAGCTGACTCGAAGAACACAGCTACAGTCGATCGGAAACATATGCAGTGTTGCCTTAACACCTAATAGAGTAAAAATAATTCCCCAAACAGGCCCACCCCGGCTACAAAATTGCCTACTATTCCTCTATCAGTGAGACTAGTTCCGCAGACAGATGGATGATGAAAGTGGAAACTAATGAGCTTTTGGTAAAAGACCAATGTCTCTATGGTCAACACAAACGTTGAGACTACGAATCTTGAATGGTGCCACTGTAATAGACCAGCGTGGGTTAGAAAACGCACTAGCATCGTTTCAAAGCTCTTGGAAAAGGCAAGCCTGAAGAAGCTCTGGAGTCAAGGGCGATAGGCTGCCACAATAAAAACAAGCAAAACCGATATGCATACAAAACTTTCTGAACTCATCACCAGGGTTGTGTTGGACACTGTAAGAGTAGAGTAGGCCAATCCCTAGCAATGAAGAAAGAGCAGGGCGAGGACGCCAAAAACCGGAGCATATTCTGAGAACAGAACGTGAACCAAACGCAGGTGAAGAATTCACACTGTACAGCCTGCACTAGCCGAATGCGCGTCCGATCATGGGTACTGATTTCAAAACAACACTGGTCTGTGGATCAATATCTTTCCGGTGCGTTAGGCAACAGCCAGATTGACCTTAAGCTCACCTCGTTCTGGTTTTCGGGGCAGCTGGTTGAGTGAACAAGATTCACGTGCTCCGCTGATCTGCGCTAGAGAAACCGTACCCTCCTATCAAATAGCATACTTAAATAGTGACGTCGCGATAAAACCTGAATCAGCAACATGGAAGCGGTTGACGGCAGCTGCTTTTTGGGAGATCCGATTCAGACAGTATATCTAAGTGACATGGTTCAAACTGTGCTTTACTGGCAGGAGATAAACTGAAATGGTTCCGAAAGAGCACCGTTCAGCGAAGCGGACAGTACATAGAAGTACAGGTGACGACCTGATTGTCGAACTGACGGCCCACCTCCTGGGAGAAGCGAATTTGCTCGTCAGGAGTGAGCTACAGTAGGTAGCACCCGCCTCCTCTGGTCCGCGGCGCTTTTGAGTTCATTGGACATCATTGTCAGCTGGTGGCTAGTGTCTGGTAACCAAGGTTTTTGTATCGTGCTCGGTGCAAGCAGGGATTCTTCTTCTGGGTAAAAGATGATATTCCGAATTATCAGATATTCAAAATCCAGTATCGCGACGAATAATAGTGTAGTAAGAAGATCCCGTGTCAGACATGGCAAGGAGACTCAAACTCCCCAAAGAAAGGTAAAGTCTGGTTCGTGAAGCCCTGTGATAGGTCTGGCGTGGAGTGGACAAAAATAATTCGAGGATAAGATAAACGCGGTCAGTCCGAAAACCACAGGAGAGACGCGAAATTCTGTTTAAAGTAGGCAACAGACGTCAACACCTAAGGAATTAAGTGTGCGTGCCGGACATCAGTCCTGGTCTAGCATAAGTACACAGGATGGTGCCAAATAGACCAGGTACTCATGACTGATGGGGGTTTAAAGTGATCGACTGTTGCTACGAGGGCGATGGATATAAGCTGTAAAACTCTAGTGGCAGTGGGTACAGTCTACTACACTTGGCAGTACAGGGGAATATTGGTAGTTACCGTCAGGAGCGTTATACAAAGGGCACGTGGAAAAAGACTAATGTCATCAAAAGCTATACTTCGAGAAGCCACCCCACGATTTGTAGTGGACAAAATGTGTTTCATGAAATTATGCGGCGGTCGACGTGAGACGAGATCCGACTTCGGCGTTTTTAACTGGACCGGAATACTGTCAGGATAGCGACCAGGATATTAATCCAAAACAAGGCAGTAAGGCAGCTTGAATTACAAACAATTCACCACATGGGCCACCCAAGTTCCGAACTACAATCCAGACAAGAAAAAAGATTGAGTCTACCTGAACAGTAACTAGTAGAATTTCGGCAGCACTAGCTCTCGATGTGCCAAAAAAACCCACCATTCACGACAGTTCAATGAGCAAGGGGAAGCGCGTAAAATGCCACATCATGATAAAGTGCAGGTGTGCTGCGACAGTGGACAGAGGCGATGGAAGCCTGAGGTACGGCACCAGTACAAGCTGGTTAACAATCTCGTTTAGCGGTCAAACAGGGTATGAGCCAGGCGTCGAAAAACGAGCATATGAAAAGCGGGAAATAAGGGAACATCTAAACAGAACTCGTAAGCTGGGACACACACTATACACGTTAGCTAGAGGTGGGAAACACCTCAGCTACTGTGCCGCAATAGCTAAAAAAAGGGAATAAAATGCAACAGGTGCAAGCCAGCTGAGCTACCGGTAACGGATAGGCATTGTTCCGGTAAGCTACCTGCCGGCTAGTATGCAGCAGAAAAAAGAATTCACCATGCAAATTTAAAAAATGCCAAATAATGAGAACGCGGTTGGAGAGGAGGCTAAGAGGGATAGGGTGGGACAAAGAAACTCACAGCACGAACACCACTGAGGTAGGCTCCTAACCATATCAACAAGTGTATCCAGCCAAACGTATTCATCGTCTTTCGGACCCCAACCAGCGAGCCGAGACGCTCCAACTGAGGCAAGCTTCGAAGTGAGGGCCTCCATTCCACTCGATCGCCTGGCCACCTCTCTTCTTCCATCCACACCCTCGGCGCGCAAACAACACACGTCGCGGGAGTCGGTGGGCTGGCATGCGTAACACGTGGCCGAGCCATCGGAGTCTGGTACGTGAAATGACGGTGCTGAGCGGTTCATTTCCTTTCCTGTGCCGTAAACAAGGCGTCGAACACGCTCGTTGCTCACGCGGTGTTTCCACCAGATGTGAGCTAAATTGTGAAGACACCGGTGGTCGAACGTAACTAGCCTCTTTATGTCCGTTGATCTAAGAGGCCAGGTTTCACAACCGCACAGTTGGGTCAAACGTACCGCTGCATTGTACACTCTACCCTTCGGCGTAAGTGTGACGTCGCGCCGGCACCATAAGTGGCGAAGGTTAGCAAAAGCGCCCCGAGCTTTTGCTATACGGTTCGTTATCTCATCATCAATCCCACGGGCGCTGAGACAACTTTCCAGGTAGTTGCATTTTTAAACGACTTCTAGCTGATCCCCACCAAGAATCAGCGAAGGAGACGGCCCAGACCAACATTGGAAGAATGCTTTGCACTTCGTCGGTGCGAAGCAAAGCCCGAAGCGGCTGACATCTAGTGCTAATCTGTCCAGTGCCGCTTGGCACGTCTGGAAGCTGTCACAGATTAGGGCAATATCATCAGCATACTCCAAGTCAAGAAGTCGTTCTCCTGGGAGCAGATCTAGACCTTAAAAGTCGTATCCTGTAAATGCAATCTCCATGATTTCGTCAACAGCGAATTTGAAGAGGAAAGGCGACAGCGGCCATTCTTGTCTCACAGCGCTGGAGATATAAAAGGGCGACAACAGCTTAACATTAGCCCTCACTCTGCTTGAGCTACGCGTGTATAATGATCGGATAATATTTACATATTTCTCAGGTACATCTTTCTTGAGTAGACAGTCCCAAAGTGCACGTCTATCCACCGAATCGAATGCACCTTTGATATCGAGGAACACGACAACGGTGGGCCGCCAATATATGTGACGGTGCTACAACAACTGACGCAAAATGAAGATGTGGTCAATGCAGCCACAACCTCGACGAAATCCGGCTTGCTCTTCACGAATATGGCTTTCACGAGTGCCAGTCAATCTGTGAAGGATGACAGCGGCAAGCAATTTGAAGGCGATGGAGATCAGACTGATTCCGCTATGGTTGCCGCATTCCGATCATGAGCCTCACTTGAAAATTGGGACTATGACGGAGCGACTCCAGTCGGTTGGGACAGTTTCCTGCTCCCACAGTTTTACTAGTAACTAGTACAAATCATCAACAAGATCAGGTCCCCCTAATTTGAAGAGGGCTGGAGGTAGATCACTTGGTCTCGCGGTTTTATTTAACTTCATCAGTGCGATCTCATGTTCGACTTCAGAGCGAGTGTGTGGATCCAAAGGGACAGCCCACGGAGCAGGGCGATCACTGGTCGGCAAGAAATCTAACAATTCCGACCGATTAAATTGCCTTTCAAAGTGCTCAGCCCAACGCTCCAAGCGTTTTGACAAATTGTGGATAGACTGTCCACTCTCGTCACGTATAGTTTCACTAACACCAGGTCTTCTGCTGCCCGTTTCCCGTATCACCAGGAATAACTTACGATAGTTACCAAGGGCAGCGGCCATTTCCATCTCTGATGCACGATAAGACCAACAGGATTCGCGGTCTCTCTTCAGGCTAGCACGGAGTTTCGCCCGGAGCTCTTTGCGAGTTTCATTGTGTTTGCTTCCAGCCGGAATATGCCGGCGAGCATCGATAAGTTCCAGAGACTGCGAAGAGACCCAATGTCCATGTTGGCGATTAGACTTACCACATGAGGGATTTGCTGCTGCTAGTAAGGACTGGTGAATATGAGACCATTGAGCTTCAATTGCATCCAGTGAGCGCTTACTCAACTCGCATGACAGCGTACTTTGATAGGCATTCAGAACAGCTGGCTTCGCCAGTTGGCTGGTGTCAATGCGCTCACAACGTCGTCTTGGGTGTCCGTCAAAACGCAGCCGCAGGTCAGCACATACAAGTGCATGGTCGGTGTCCACACATGTGCTCCAAACCGAGGGACAGTTCTGGACGCAGCCTCTCCGTCGGTAACTTATCGCAATGTGATCGATTTGCGTCCAAGGCTGGTTCGAAGCTGGTGAGTGCTAAGTCACCCTCCGGCGGGTGCTGTGTCGGAAATTAGTGTTCGCAAGACATAAGCGAGCATCTTCACACAAATGAAGTAACCGCTCACCGTTATCATTTTACGGGAACCTACACCATGTTGGCCGCCCAGATGGGGTTCATCAGTGAATAATTTTCCAACTTGTGCGTTCAGATCCCCAGCCAGCACAACAGTGTCCGAGCCACTTCTGTGGCGAAGGAGCTCGTCCAGTTGGCGATAGTAGCCGTCTTTTACCGAATCATCGCTACAGTTTGTGGGTGCATAGGTAGCGATGACGAATAGAAGCCTGTTAGTCCCATGCGGCTTCGAAGCTTTGAACGAGCCATCCAATCGGACCGCACACAACCGGCCACTGATTGGAATCCAATCAACCAGAGTAGCTTCAGCCCGGGGACTCAGGGCAATACCAACACCGGCTTGACCGGTGCTCGAAGCTGCATCGTCACCAGATAGGCGCAATGAGAAAGTGCTGCTGGTGTTACCTGAAGGGGATCGCAAAGTGAGCACAGAGCTCGAGTCTTGCAGGCGGGTCTCCGATAAGCAGCATGTATCGATCGACAGGGTCTATAATGTTCGGGCAAGTGCTGCCTGTTGACCGATCTGTAGTAATGTGCGTACACTGAGACATGCCAATCTGAAGGATGATCGAGGACTTCAAATGAAAGTCGATAAACTGGGCTTGGTCGCTTGTTTGGACATGAACTTGTCGAAAGGACAGGAATAACGCGCCGCGTTCACATGTGAGTTGAAACTAGAAGGTAAAAGTCTAGCAAAGCAAGGTGGGGGAGGGCCAAGAATTGGAGGGTTGAAAATAAGCGGGATAAAAGTGAAGCTGGAACTGGATGGTAAGAGGGAAAAAGCGTAAGGGGGGATTACGAAGACGGGAAGGCTTGAGCAGTAGCATCCAAACCCTATGCACCCTGCTCGATGCAGCAGATAGGGCACCGTTGATTATGCTCTGCGGTGGCCAGAGCATCAAGAAACTGTTTGAAGAGAAATTCATTGTATTGCGTGGGCAGAATACTGTCAAGCTGCCCAGGTCTAGACAGGAGAACGATTAGGGTTTTCAACCAAAGCTTCTGGTACAAAAACCTGACCTCAAGGTAGCGGGTTTGGCGTTGGGCTACAAGGAGTCCGTTTTAAGGAATAGCCACCTCATTCCAAACCCCAACCTGGAAGACCAGGAGGTTGAGTTTGTCTGGCCTCTAATCATTGACCAATCTGGTATGAGTGGTTCCGAAGATGCAAAGAAAAACACCCCCCAGCACGGCTTAATGGATCGCTGAGGCACACAAATCATCGCACCACGGGAAGGTCCAGCCTCATTGCAATGGCGTGAGCTGGGAAGCATGAACTGATCAACCACTCGAAAAGACCGCAATGTACAGAAGGATTGGATACTGACCAAGTGAAGGCAATAAACTAGCGAACTACGACAAGGTTGAGAGCAAAATGAACAGATGTCCTATGTTTGTTGTTTGGCTGCTAAAGAATGCAATGAAAGAAAAGGACAGGTTAATGGGTGTTCGCCCAGAAAGGACTGAGAGATGCCTAAATTCTGTGAATTGGTATAGAATGGATGGTACAAAGCGTACTGCTGTTGTAAGGAGAGAAAGTTGAGAAAGCTCAATGGTAACGAGACAAGAGTAATGTGAGTTGTGTGTAAATGAATGAAATGGAAGCAAATAAAGCCATTAGCATTAGACGGATAGATATAGTAGAGCACACGGTAAAATAGCGGACTTACTTCATAGGCTGCAAGCATCAGTGGGACAACACCCGTCGCCCCATGGCACCAGTGCACAAGAACGTCGCGATCCATACTGTCGCCTAAGCTCGAGGGCCAATTGCCTGAGGTGAGCTGCAACTCGGCCAACCAGTGTATTGTGGGTAACACCAACTTCTGCAGGGAATCATGTTTCAGGGCCTCCGGGTTCATCTGGTGCACCTGAATGTACAACAGAAAAGAGATGTAAAGGATACTAATTTGACAGGGTTGGTAGAATAAAATGGATTTAGGTAAAATACGAAGGGGGCAGTCGGACTTTGACGTAGTACTGACACGAAGCTGGTGTCGGGTAAGAAGCTGTGGCCAGGAGGCGTGAAAGAAGCGAAGATTGGTGGATCGCCCCGATCGTTGTCATTGAGGTGCCCACTGTCAGAAAGTGTATCAGCGATACATCAGTACTCAGTACTAGTTCAGCACTATCATAAGCAGTCAAGAGGAATATAGGCCCTCACTTCGAAGTTTGCGTCGGTTGGTGCAGCCCAAGGACGATGAACACGTTTGGTGGGACACACTTGTTGATATAGCGAAGAGCCGGTCCCAATGGCGTTTGTGTTATGAGTTTCTTTGTCCATCCCCCCTCGTTTAGATTCCCATCCAATCAGAACCTCATATCTAATGTGATATAATATTTAACAATAAATTACAACTTTTTGGATTTTTGTAGTGTTCTTTTTGTATTGCGGTACATTGGCTGAGGTGTGTTTCTGAAGCTCAGCTGAGGTGTACTGATGGTGATTCCGGGAACGTGATGACTGTCTGAGTCTAGAAGTAACGAATTTCTAGCTATACCAAGATTTCGCCTTAAAACTATATACTAGATAACACACACAGTTACTGTACGGAAAGCCGTAGCTCTGCAGGGAAACCCCGTTCAGTACAAAATTCGTATGATAGTTGAGGACGAGTAGCGCCACATCGAAATTAGTTTATCAGTCATGATGTTCCGACGGCGTCCCCAATGTCCTAGTAACATAAGCCGCTGGAGTCCACAGGTCATGGATTTGCTTCCAGTTGTGGGCACATGAGAAGTTAACTACTGGTGTGTTCCAATGGGAAAACAGCAGTCTGGCGCTTTTCCGGGAGAATGAGAGAACACCTGACCTTAGTTTGACGAATTATCTATAGTTCACATGAAAAATCTTCTAGTCATGTGTTTTGCTTGCGCTACGTGAAATATAAGACGTACCGAAAAGCGAGGAGATTCACGCCGTATTCGCTTTACAGGTAACAAAGCGCAAGAGAACGTGAGAATTTCACCGCAAATGTATCTCAGCAACAGGTGACATTGGCGTAAGTACTGCAAATCACTAACATAGTCCATAAACGTGAACTCGGCTCCCTTCAAGGAAGCGTATACCGTTAGTCGGGGAATGTACAAATATATTTGTTTAACCAAATCGCACTTGAACACAGCAAAAAAACAACATTTGGTTGTTGCACTTGAATTATACGCAAAGACCCAGATGAAATGAAGAATGGAGAGCGGGCTACGTGATTTCAAAAACAACTGACAAATGATAACAAGTGGTTAATGGTCCAGTGTTTTGGGAATCTGCAAGAAACTACGGAGCATTTGCTAATTTTCGACCGCTCGGCCAGTGCGCGTCGAGGCCACTCCAAGTGACCGTGGTATAACTTTTCACTACAGGCCAAGCTGCTGCGCAACCACCACCGGTCGCAAGTGGGCTAAGGATACTACGAGGGCAACACAGCTCCTACGCAGACTAGAACCCGCGCCGTCAGACTTCAAGACAATCTCGTTACCTTTAGGCTAAAGGCCGGCTAAATAAATCGTCAGATGTGCGCCGTAATGGCGTTTCACAGCCGCGCGAGCACCGCCAGTCGCGCGTGGGGTGAGTATTCCGCGAGGACACCCGCCCCTACGCGGAATCGAGCGAGTGACCATATGATTGCAAGCCAGGTATGCAAACCACTCGGCAACGGGTCCGTAGTGTGAAGCTAACGAGATACTTTTGTAATTTGACGGTACAAGTTCGAGCCTGCGTAGGGTCAGGGCAACCCTAGCAATATCCTTAGTCCACGTGCGACCGTTAGTGGTTGCGCGGCATCGAAGTGTCGACACTGCGTGCCGGCATACTGCTGACGCCAAGAAGTTAGACGGATATAGTTTTTCACCCGTGCCAAAATTCTCTTTTTTGAGTGACCCAGTTCGTGTTGTATATCACAGTGGAAACAAATGCGTGTACCACGTTTTGGAACGGGATGCAGTCACATATCATGTCGTGAATAAACCCACCTGTCTGGGTTAAAGGGAGTGTAAAGCCCAACAACAAATAGTGTGAAATGTGAAAGATACACTTACAGCTGGCGACAATTAGATGGTCACCTGTCCTCATGCGTATGATAGAGCTACTGTCATCCGAATTAGAAGCGTAAATCACATGGGCTACATGTGTATACCTGAAACTGTTGGTCGGGATCACGCCCGATTTCGTTTGCTAGGTAGTAGTTGGCGAGCGAGCAGCAATCAGTTTAGGCCGACCTCTCACTTATTCGCGTCGATAGCCCCAAATCGGCCCCGACTGAGTGCGTCGATAACCCCAAGTACAAAACTGAATGAGCTTGTATTTTGCTTTTTTGTGCACGGCATGATAATTTCACGGATTGTATGCAAACAGCTGACGAGAATACTCGAAATACCTGAGTTCAGTGTATCCTGCTAAAATGTTCTTTTCTCCTGGTTATTTTGAGATTTTGTATAATACGAACAAAACTAAAGAGGATGCCACGAGGGAAATAGCCAGAGGGATGCGCCACGATGTGAGTGATTCAAATGCATAATAGATATATACTGATCTTTTATTTCATGGATAGCGTATTTTGATCAAAACCCAGAGTTTGTTTTCGGAAAGTCACACGCGACACAGTGCACTTGTAAGGCCTGCAAAATGTGATGTCTAGCGCGAAAAAACCCTACGACGTAAATTTATTATGACGGTCTACTGTGCTCCGGAATCCGGGTTTGCTCCACTGAAGTGTTGGCGAGTGTAATCAACATCTGGGGGAAGACAAATGACCGAAACGGTTGAGCATCTTTAGTGGCATTTGGAGACAACATGTATGGCGAGCAGTAAGCTAATTTGGACGAGTGGATCTTTCCAAGATGTTTGATGTACATCCAAGAACCAAAGATGACCTGTTAGGGTTAACGCCAAAGTGGGAAAATTACGACGGCTACGATAGGGCGACTATTACACCAAGGGCCGCGGGGTAGCACCAGCAACAGTAAACAACGCTTGATACCTACTCCGCGGTACCCAGCAAAATAGTTGCACTTCGGTCCTGGAACAGAATCGCAAATGTTGCTTTTCGTTGGACCTAGTTCAGTGCCCTTGCGTACATGTAAGGAACAACGGCTTGCGTGGACTATTAAAGGGTTTCTAACGAAGAACCACATCCAACACCGATCGAGAGGTCAAGTGCGCGGTAATCATCAACGACGGCAATGAAGGGACTGGTGGGTAACCGGTTGAGTGAGATGGTGGGGTCGTTTCACATTGTGACTGAGACCACTTAAATAAATAAATAAATAAGCAAATGGGCATATTTCGCGACGAGAAGGATAAGTTCCTTCATGTGGAACAATCATTTGTACAGCGAGTTTCGTTTTTAGTTCATGTATAAATCCCAATGCAATGTTTTGTCGCGTATGTAATAAGTGACATTATTTGATGGTCAGTATTGTCACATGTTGTTCGGGCCCGATCCCATGAGTACGCTGTGACCATTAAAGAAGCCACTAACATATGTCTGCTATGATGTATCAACAGCTACGAAACGCAAAAACCCCTAGTCTTACCTATATAATAATATTCATCCTGCATTTCACATTAAAATTCCGAGGCTAAAAATATCGTCACAATAGGAGATAAGTAAGTAGTCCAGGACAAGACTATCAGTAGACAGGAAGCAGTTTTAATACATGGGCTCAGAAGTGGTATGCTTATATTCTATAACGTAGTGAATAATTTCTAATTTAGCTATCAATATTGCATTAGTGTTGCCTATGTTTAAGGCAAATATTGCTGCATGCACTGCACACTTGGATGTTTCACCATTGATACGGATAACGACCCCGTCGGGAATTTTGCTCCCACCTTTCAGATTTCTGTATCAATACGGCGAACCACTATGTCATCCAAGTGCATAAGTTGTAGCAAACGCGTCACTTCTCGCTCAAAAGCTGTTCAGTGCGCTCTGTGTGAAGGGTGGCTGCACACTTCGTGCTGTAACATCGATGACGCCCTATGTGAATGTCTTCAACGCACTGCTTCTGAGGTCATGAGCTCACATTGTGACTCATGTCGAGTAGTAGTGAATGACAAACGCCTTCTGGCTAACCATCGTCCTCTCAGTATATGCAGCCCTGTCACCCTGGCCATGTACAATACGGAAGATGAGTCACCCCCATCATCCATTTCCCTACCTGCATCCGGGTCTGCTACACTCAAATCAAATCGAACCCGCACTCTCTCTGCTACGTCGGCCGAGTCATTACCGTCCAGGAAAATGATTTGTCGACCGAGGAATAAGCCCGAAACGTATGCTGCCGTGGCGAGCGCCACCGCTCCGACGACAATCTGTCTATGCCCAGCTGAAAGCACGCCCCCACGAAAGCTGGTATCTAAGCCCAAGGCGAAATCCAACACCGGGGATAACTCTTCCATAGTGAAGGGAAATGTGCCCCCGACCTTTATCAGTCAAAGCCCAGCCACCAATGCTGTTAAGTTTAATCCCAAATCCGGGGATAAACCCAATTCTAAGCACTCAGCTTCTCAGTCGCGAATGAAACTAGTTCTCAATAGACTTTCTGAGCTAGAGAAAGTGATCAAAGAAAATCCGTCCTCTCGCAGACCGCAGATGCCTGAGCGCACTCCACCTTCTCGGGACCGTTGCCTCATCATTATGTACGCAGCCGAATCGAACAAAACCACCCCAGCGGAAAGAATTCTGGATGACCAAATTCTTCTCGAGCGCTTGATCTCTTTGTTACTTGATGAAGGGGAACAGGGGATTAACATCGTCTCTGCATTCCGGCTCGGCAGGAAGTAAGAGGACCCAACCAAATTTCGTCCCCTCAAAATCATGTGTCAGACGGAAGAGGAACGCCGAAGTATTCTGCGACGGACCTCGCGTCTCAAAGGTGAGCCATATTACGTACTACGTGATATTTCTCCAGAGGATCGGATAAAAATGAAAAAGGCTGTTGAGGAGCTACGAACACGCCGAGGAAATGGTGAAACTGACCTTCATATTGTGGATTTTTGCGTGGTTCGGAAGACCCTGAGAGCCCGTTGGAGACCCATTCTTCTCATCCCGGGACAATAAAACACACAAGTGGACTATTCGTGTTAACCGCCAATGTGCGAAGTCTGAGGAACAAATTGGATGAGATTCAGTTGATTGCCTCAGAGACCTGCCCGGACTTAATGGCCTTCACTGAAACCTGGCTATCCACCGACATCACGGATTCAGAGGTGTCTATCCCTGGTTATCACCTCTCCCGATCCGATCGACAAGGAGGGAGGCCCGGCGGTGGTGTAATAGTCTATTGGAAGACTGATATTAAAGTGCACGTAGTTGAAGCGATCAGTGACAAAGACGATGAGTTTGATGCACTCTGGTGTCGTGTTCATGATGGTCGGAGTTCTCTCTCATTTGGTGTTGTCTACAGAGCGCCTTCAGGATCCGGAGCCCGATTGATGGACTCGATCAGGAAGCATGGTGCACGAAAGGATTGTCTTATCGTTGGGGATTTCAACGCTCCTTCTGTTGACTGGAACCTGTTTCTTTGTGACCGACCTACAGAATCCTTCGAGGCTAACTTACTGGAGACCATTCTTCATTGTAATTTGCTCCAACACGTCACTACACCAACTCGTATTCCTCCAGATCAGACGCCGCATATCCTGGATCTCGTGCTCTCCCCAACACAATCAGACATCACGAACCTTTCGTTTCTACAGCCCATTGGCAGCAGTGATCACTGTACTGTCTCATTCCAGTGGTCACGTCGCCTCGCTGTTCACAGTCAACGTGCCGACCGTCGGAATTTCTGGCGTGCCGACACAACTCGTTTGAAAACGGCGGCAAGCATTGTCGATTGGAGTATCCCTGAACACCTCAATGTTGACGAAGCGTGGCATCACTTGTACTCCAAGCTGACGTTACTCATTGAACAGGTCATCCCCTTCTCCAAAGGCCCTCCATGGATCGATCGCGAATTGAGATCAATGATGAAAAGAAGGCGTAAACTATGGGATCGTTTCAGAATTACGCGAGTTGAGCTTGACTACTGCCACTACAAAACGGTCAGGAATGCTTGTAACATAAAAAACGCGAGAAACGCCAGAAGTACGAACTGTCATTAGCTGCACTTTCTAGTACAAACTCCAAGGCGCTCTTCTCATACCTCAAACGAAGCACTAAAGCTGGAAGTGGTGTCCCTGCCTTGTCTCCCTGTGAGCATTTGGACCTAGTCTACGAAGACGCTGAGAAAGCTAGCCTTTTGGCCCAGCAATATTCCTCAGTCTACTCTACCGAAACGCCACTCCCAGATAGCGTTGCACCCACTCCTCCTTTCCTGCTGGAGCACGTGAATGTTTCTACTGACGATGTAATGAAACTTCTACTTGACCTAGACCCGTATTCCTCGCCTGGTCCCGATGGTTTACACCCATTGTTCCTCAAGACCGTGGCCGGACACATTGCCGCTCCTGTATGTCAAATTTTCCGTCGTTCCCTTGAGGTCGGGCGGCTTCCAACTGCTTGGAAGATGGGAACGGTTAAATCCATTTACAAAGGAGGGAACCGACAGAATCCAACCAGCTGTCGTCCAATCTGACTGCCTTCGATTTTGTGCCGAGTCATAGAACGGATGCTGAAACGGGCCCCTCGCATTCATCTCGATGAGTTGGAGTTTCTCTCTCAGGCCCAAAATGAATTTCCGAAGGGCGCGTTCATGTGCTACAAATTTGCTGGTAGCTAGGGAAAAATGGGCAAGATCCTTAGATGCCGGTAAGCGTCTGGATGCTGTGTTTGTCGATTTCAGTAAGGCTTTCGACAAGGTCCCACATGAGCGGCTCCTCTTCAAACTCCGGGGAATCGGCGTCACTGGCAATTTTCTTTCATGGGTTTTGGATTTCCTGCAAGGTCGCTTCATGCAGGTCAAAGTTAACGAAGCGCTTTCTGATCAAATTCTCATGACCAGTGGGGTCCCCCAGGGTTCTGTACTCGGCCCCAAACTCTTCAATATCTTCATCAACGACCTGCCATCCGAACTGCAGACCGACTGCTTAATCTACGCGGATGATCTGAAGCTGTGGATTGAGGTTTCCAGTCTGGAAGATGCAGACATACTTCAAGCGACACTCGATCAGCTCCACGATTGGTCACTAAAGTGGCAGTTGCCCATTAACCATGACAAATGCGCTATCCTTCCAATCGGTGCTCCTGAGCCTTTTGGGGCTTACCATATCGGAGGTTTCCTGCTCAGAAATGTCAACCAAGAGAGGGACCTAGGGGTGATTGTGTCTCCTGATCTCAAATCAATCGAGGACACCCGGAAGAGGGTCGCATCCGCATACAGAATACTTCACGAACAACACCATACTGCCTATCGGGCTAGGTGTGAAAGGTAGATCTGTTCATGTGTACAATTTTTAGGATGTGCAACGACAAGTTGATACATGTGAGCGACAGATAGCAGACTAACTCTAAGCAGAGTGAGCAAAATACCCGCGAATCCATGCGCAGCGCCGAGATACGCCTTCTCGTGCCATTCATACATGAGCGGGGGCATGTCCAACGGGCTTTTCTGTCGTCGCATGAGAGATTTGTAAATACCACTCGTACGATACTTTTCGGCTGTCTGTATTCCGGACTGTAGAATGGCTTCTGCAACCTGGGTTAGAGAGGAGTAGATTTAGAAGTATTGTAGTGATCAAGACCATTCGATGGGTGAAATCACTGGTTAGATAAATAGAGCAGGTGAAACATGAACTAACTGAACATTTGCATACGGTACAAGATGCATAATTAGTGAACAAGCAGTAACGTGTAAATAAAGTGTAAAAATAAACTAATAAGTAAAAAACGGCTTTGCGGAAATAAATGAACAAGTAGAGTCAGCTGGGAGAAGCGAGTTGCTGGATTTATTCCAGTGGACTGTGTTCATGGTTGATGTGTAATTCTTATGAATAGGCAGGGCGTTTCTGTGGTAAATCAAACGGATCAATCTATCTCTCTCTCTCTTGACATAAGAATTTAGTTACTCAAAACGGTTGAAAAATTAGCGAACAAGTTTCATGCTACAAGTTCAACTGCCAGTTTGACGGCACTACGCTGATGGGTCGTGTGGACGCTTCATTACCATGCATGCGGGCCACGAAGATTGAGAGGTCATCCGCACTTATGTCTGTGGTGTGGGCATTTGTTGTGTTGCCACCGATAGTACGGATAACCGACAAAGCTAATCGGGTCACGGTCCAGCAACGTTGAAACTCAGAAGACAAAGGCATCTGGAGAAACTTTTAGGAAGCAATCGACAAACAGTATATACAAACAAAAGATGAAGTCAAAAAATAATTCATGAGAGGAGGATCTAATTAAAAATTCCCGGATTCTAACAATTCGTTTGTTGGTTGTTCAAGTTAAGCGCCCACTAGAAGACTTTAGGGTGGGTTATTTCACATTGGTTGCCTCTAAAGTAACACCCTCTCATTGGCTGGCCAATCGGCTTCAGGCCTCTACGACCAATCCTCCGTGAGCCGATTGCTGAGGACTGGCCTGGAAGACTGTTATGGGCGAGCTCCCTCAACAACATTGTAAAGGTAACCGTTAATATTCACTAACGCAATCGGAACGAACAGGTAAAGGGTCGTTCATGATCGAGTGTACGCCGCCCCATGAGCAGCAACCCTTACACACACACACACACACACACACACACACACACACACACAAGCGATTATCGTTTTGTAAACACGCATGATCAATCGGCTCAACCGAGGACTATACCACGCTTCCGACAGAGGCACTTTTAGCAAAGAAGACCAAAGCGAAATCGCTCAATGGAGCATGGGTTGTCCTATAAATAGTAGGTTGGTTTCTGACCAAAAGACATTCGGATCGTAGACCAGGCTTCATTTTTGATTCTCGGATGGTGTTACACGACAATGTCAAGGCGATCCTTAGGTCAGATATGTTGTGATATATTTAATAAGTGCTTAATAAAACGTTTGTCCCGGAAGGGTTGACTTTCGTAATGCTTAGTGTATCACCCCAACCTGAGGGTAATGCGTTTAAGTAGTAGAGTACACATAGTACCTAATTAATTATATCGCGAAAGAGCTGTGAAGTCTAACAACAAATTCGTAAAGACATGAGCAACGGAGATACCAAAAATTAAACGGGGTATGGAATAGGTGGATAAGAGAAAAAGCAGAGAATGGACAGAGACGTGTAAAACATACCTTGGAAATGACATCGATTGGAACACTCCACTGGGTATTTCTGAGCAGTAACAGTGCATTCAAATAACCCGTGCGACCGTAGAGCGCTTCGTCAGGCATGGTATACTTTAAATTCGAAGCGAAACGAGATGCTTCAACGATTTGGTCGACACAACTCTGAGGAGGAATAGCAACTTTTTCGTCATAACTGCACTCCGTTATCAAGGCGCCCAGACAGAGTGGACCAATGGAACTGGTAAACACGCTCACATTTCGCTGCAAACGATCAAGATCGGTGTGGCGCAGACAGCGCCGCGTAATTCGGTGAGCTATGGAAGCGAAATGGGTTCTTTTGGCCTCACTTACATATCGCGGATCAATGGAGGAAAAGCGGTGGTAAAGTAAGCCAATGCCTAGAAAGTTGAGGAAGTGGTGCTCAGTTAGGAATGCAGTATAGACAAGAGTGATCGCCAATTGGAGAAAAATAACAGCGCAAAAATTATAGTACTGAAACAATCAAACAAATGAAAAACAATCGTCGGTTCTATGACTGTCTCCTAAGCAACGTAGAGCGGTAAGGAGTGCATCGAAACAGCACTGAAACGGATTTAGACAAGTACCTAAATGGCAAACATTCAGCAGTAGCTATCAAAAACAAGATAAGCTATAGAGCACACTGCTGAGAAGCGGGAGATGTTACTGACGGCGCGAAAGGTGTGCTGCTTTATATCCTTTATCTGAAATCCAGGCGCGACTAAGTTTGGGAAAATGAACGACTAAACTCGACAGGCCGAAATGATTGGGTGTATGAACTAAGGCCGATTGTGGTCGTTAAATTGTCCTGATTCCCATGCACTGATATCGGCTGAAACGTGGGCAATTCACCAGTGCGACGTATTACGTGATAAGGTACATGTTTGATAAGTAACATACCAACACTACATCAATAATCTGTACTAGCATTCAACACCGACGCACGTTGTACGAGGGCCGTAACACAGCGGGAAATTAGCACAATAATTCAATCCTAGGACCCTACGATCGCCAGTGGCAGCGATAAAGTGCATAGTTTTAGTGAAGGTACGAAGCTCAGTGAACATCTCGATGCGCAAACGGGTTGCTTCCCAACCACCACACAGCGTGTGTATGATTTGTGTGCTTACCGAACCCACATGTGAGTAGGTAACTAGCACGCTCTGATTCGTGTGCCAATTTCTTATGGTTCCGGATATCATCTCTCACAGACTTCACAGTAAGGAACATTGCGATGGAAGCAAAAATACTGGTGGATAGTGAAAAAGACAAACAATAAGTAAATGTCATGCGGTGATGATAGTGTGTATTGTGGGACACGGTGGTAGAAAGCACACTGAGGTAAAAAGTGTAATCCCAAGTAAACCCTAAAGGCTAGAATGTGATCACAAACGTCATTGGCAGCGTGGAAACCGACCCTCAGTGACCGAGCCGTAATTTCTATCACCATTGCGCAACTCTCAACCAGTGGCTGCCTACGCGAGGGGCGGGAAACAGAAGCCCAATGTAGCGACCAGTATCAGGTGGCTTGGCTATCGGGATTTCATGTGTAAAATCATAATACGGAGTAATGCCAAAATCTGTGTGTGAATACAATCCAGGAAAGACGTTTAAAAAATAAACAAACTGTCAGCTGTGCGCAGTAACGGCGCTTCGCTACCGCGCGATTAGCACCATTCGCATTGGGTTGAATCATATATCGCGAGCACGCCCGCCCCTACGCGGATTCGGACCGGTGACCTAAGGACTGCAAGCCAGGCGTGCTAACCACTCGGCCACGGGATGAGACTATAAATGTTTGGTTTCTACTCACATGAATTTCACAGCAAATATGAATCAGACGGTGGAGGCACTTGCGATCTCACGGAGTTACGTGCGCACGTAGTTTAGTTGTAAGAAGTATCGTCCTTACTACAGATCGTACCAGACAGAATAACATACAATATCAGATGTCGCGTCGCACGACAGCGAACAGTTGCTAAATAAGAACAAATTTTCCAGTAGAGGATTGGATTTAGCCTATGAAAGACATTGTCACTGTAAATCCTTCTGATATCGGTAATTAGTATGGGGTCTGGGAACTTTTAGTAACTATCAGAGCGTAATGAGAATGGACAACAAAGAAGTCTTCCATTCGCGCAACTATTGGATAAAATGTGTCAGTGTAGAATCACTTGTGCTCCCCAATCCCTACAGTGCAGCCGCTCTATGGTCTCAATGCCTTTAACAAACGAGCGAGGAAACGGAACACCCAACCTCGCGTTTGGTAATGTAGAAAAATCTACGTCGAGAAGTCAAAGATGTTTGCAGGAGATATTTGTATTGGGCGAGTCCTACAAGTAGGACCACATGAACGACTGACAGATTAGTAAGGAAGAGAGCTACCAACACGTTGCTAATAATTTGTACTCATGTTTTGCTGCCAAACAAGGCCAAGCGTTTGTATATGCAGGCCGCAGAGATACCAACAGGAAGCCAAAACCTAGGCAGGCGAACAATGAGGGCTAACACAGCGTTCATACAAGCATGAACTGGGTAGACATGACCTGAGAATAATCACCCAATCATCACTGTGGCATAGTTGTTGCCTACGAGTAAGGTGTGTCGCATTAAAATGGTATGATGGGTTATGATACCATATGCTAACAAGGCAGAATAAGAAGAGAAGGGGGTTAATATAGTAGAGATCGAGATTATTGCTGTGAAGTGAGTGAAAATTGAAAAACTTTACCGAAAGTTTGCGCAATTGTGCGTAACCGTATGAGAACCTGCTTGAAAAGATAATGGCCAGCAGTTGACCAATGCTAAGCCGGTCGATCGGCATGAACTTGTGTGGGACTCGTGGAAACACACTGTAGATTCTCGTGCTTTGAGCATTGAAATCTCTGTGCAGTATTGCTGCGTGGATGGGATGCCTTTCAGAACCATACTTCCACTATTGAATATGGTGCCTGGAAGTTCTGCATGCAATGCTGTTATACCTTCTTTCCGGTAGCGGTTGAACTGTTCGCTGAGCTTAGCAACTTTTTTTACTGAGATGGACTGATAGGAACACATGACAAGACACTTGAGAGAAAGCAGGTTGCAAATATAGAACAGCTCTATAAGTTTCTCCACAGTACCGAGGGAGTGAATGTTAAATTTACGCCGATTCAGGGCGGGAGTGCAATACATAGATTTACGAAAATATGTACAGTTTGGTCCACACTAATTTGTGATCAGTGCCACACTCAGCTCCACGCAGTACACGTGTCATGCGCACTTCACGCATATCACGATGACGTACGATGACATGGTCGAGCAGGTGAACGTGACCACTCCATGGGTGCGTCCAAGTTGCTATATCACTCGCACTCAGTGCAAACCGAGTGTTCGTGATCGTCAGGTCGTGAGTGGCACACAGTGAGATCAGCCTGTCACTGTTCGCATTCGCTGAACCAATGCCATGCAGACCGGTGACATCTGTCCACACCGATGCATCACGCCCAACGCGCGCGTTGAAATCACCCAGCAGAAATAGTCGGTCGCTCCTCGGCACAGACCGTATCACGGAGGATAGCTGAGTGCAGAATTGATCACGCGTGTCATCAGCATAACACATGGTCAAGCCGTACGTGCTTATAAAGGTGGCAAACTTACATCTCCCGAGTCGTAGGCGAACAGTCATCAGTCGTGCGCTGATGCCTGTTGGTTCACCCACGAGCTGGCCATGGAGGCGATCGGATATTGCAAATCCGATCCCATGATCATATGGTGCTGAGGCGGCGTTGCCCACCCAGTAGAATGTGTAGCCAGCACCTGTTTCATGCAACTTACCTTGCTCAGCGAGCCGAGTTTCACAGAGTGCCGCAATATCGATGTTGTAGCGCGCCAGCTCCAAAGTGACCAGTGCGGTGCGTCGCTCGGGGCGCTCACTGGAGTTCCGGTGCAGTAGTGTGCGCACGTTCCAGCACCCGATGCTGAGTGCTTTGCGCGCAGGCATACGATTGCATTGGTGGGCAATTGCACGTGAGGTTGTCGTTGTGTTTCAGAGGTTTGCTTGAGGGACTCGGCCCGGAGCCCTTGGCTCAATAACCTGACCCACAAGGCAGTGCGTTATATATATATATATATATATATATATATATATATATATATATATATATATATATATATATATCACATCGATATTGCAGCGCTCAGTGAAACTCGGCTCGCTGAGCAAGGTAAGTTGCATGAAACAGGTGCTGGCTACACATTCTACTGGGTGGGCGACGCCGCCTCAGCACCACGTGATCATGGGATCGGATTTGCAATATCCGATCGCCTCCATGGCCAGCTAGTGGCATTAGCGCATGACTGATGACTGTTCGCCTACGACTCGGGAGATGTAAGTTTGCCACCTTTATAAGCACGTACGGCTTGACCATGTGTTATGCTGATGACACGCGTGATCAATTCTGCACTCAGCTATCCTCCGTGATACGGTCTGTGCCGAGGAGCGACCGACTATTTCTGCTGGGTGATTTCAACGCGCGCGTTGGGCGTGATGCATCGGTGTGGACAGATGTCACCGGTCTGCATGGCATTGGTTCAGCGAATGCGAACAGTGACAGGCTGATCTCACTGTGTGCCACTCACGACCTGACGATCACGAACACTCGGTTTGCACTGAGTGCGAGTGATATAGCAACTTGGACGCACCCATGGAGTGGTCACGTTCACCTGCTCGACCATGTCATCGTACGTCAGCGTGATATGCGTGAAGTGCGCATGACACGTGTACTGCGTGGAGCTGAGTGTGGCACTGTACATATATTTTCGTAAATCTATGTACTGCCCTCCCGCCCTGAATCGGCGTAAATTTAACATTCACTCCCTCGGTACTGTGGAGAAACTTATAGAGCTGTTCTATATTTGCAACCTGCTTTTTCTTAAATGTCTTCTCATGTGTTCCTATCAGTCCATCTCAGTAAAAAAAGTTGCTAAGCTCAGCGAACAGTTCAACCGCTACCGGAAAGAAGGTATAACAGCATTGCATGCAGAACTTCCAGGCACCATATTCAATAGTGGAAGTATGGTTCTGAAAGGCATCCCATCCACGCAGCGATATTAAACAGAGATTTCAGTGCTCGAAGCACGCGAATCTACAGTGTGTTTCCACGAGTCGCACACAAGTTCATGCCGGTCGACCGGCTTAGCATTGGTCAACTGCTGGCCATTATCTTTTCAAGCAGGTTCTCATACGGTTACGCACAATTGCGCAAACTTTCGGTAACGTTTTTCAATATATATATATATATATATATATATATATATATATATATATATATATATATAAGGCGTCCAGGTCGAGATAATTTCCGAGCATATTACAAGACGACTGTGGAATTTCACGCGA